TCTTACGAGAACTGATGTTTCAACGTGATATGGTCGTAAGCCATACCTCGCGGCCATTAAAGATTACAGTTCCTGATATTCCCAAGCGTTCACCTATCTTGGTCCTGACCAGTTTCTACGTTCCTTAACGTCGTTGATCGTACGAGAACTGATGTTTCAACGTTTCAACGTGATATGGTCGTAAGCCTTACCTCGCGGCCATTAAAGATTACAGTTCCAGGTATTCCTAAGCGGTCACCCATCTTGGTCCTGACCAGTTTCTTCGTTCCTTAACTTCGTTGATCGTCCGAGAACTGATGATACAACGTGATATGGTCGTAAGCCATACCTCGCGGCAATTAAAGATTACAGTTCCAGGTTTCCTAAACCCATCTTGGTCCTGACCAGTTTCTACGTTCCTCTTCGTTGATCGTACGAGAACTATTCAACGTGATATGGTCGTAAGTCCTCGCGTTCTTAACATTAAAGATTACATTCTTGGTATTCCTAAGCGGTCACACATCTTGGTCCTGTTTCTTCGTTCCTTAACTTCGTTGATCGTACGAGAACTGATGTTTCAACGTGATATGGTCGTAAGCTATATCTCGCGGCCATTAAAGATTACAGTTCCTGGTATTCCTAAGCGGTCACCCATCTTGGTCCTGACCAGTTTCTTCGTTCCTTAACTTCGTTGACCGTACGAGAACTGATGTTTCAACGTGATATGGTCGTAAGCCATACCTTGCGGCCATTAAAGATTACAGTTCCTGGTATTTCTAAGCGGTCACCCATCTTGGTCCTGAACAGTTTCTTCGTTCCTTAACTTCGTTGATCGTACGAGAACTGATGTTTCAACGTGATATGGCCGTAAGCTATATCTCGCGGCCATTAAAGATTACAGTTCCTGGTATTCCTAAGCGGTCACCTATCTTGGTCCTGACCAGTTTCTTCGTTCCTTAACTTCGTTGACCGTACGAGAACTGATGTTTCAACGTGATATGGTCTTAAGCCATACCTCGCGGCCATTAAAGATTACAGTTCCTGGTATTTCTAAGCGGTCACCCATCTTGGTCCTAACCAGTCTCTTCGTTCCTTAACTTCGTTGATCGTACGAGAACTGATGTTTCAACGTGATATGGTCGTAAGCCATACCTCGCGGCTATTAAAGATTACAGTTCGAGGTATTCCTAAGCGGTCACCCATCTTGGTACTGACCAGTTTCTTCGTTCCTTAACTTCGTTGATCGTACGAGAACTGATGTTTCAACGTGATATTGTCGTAAGCCATACCTCGCGGCCATTAAAGATTACAGTTCCTGGTATTCCTAAGCGGTCACCCATGTTGGTCCTGACCACTTTCTTCGTTCCTTAACTTCGTTGTTCGTACGAGAACTGATGTTTCAACGTGATTTGGTCGTAAGCCATATCTCGCGGCCATTAAAGATTACAGTTCCTGGTATTTTCTAAGCGGTCACCCATCTTGGTCCTGACCGGTTTCTACGTTCCTTACCTTCGTTGATCGTACGAGAACTGATGTTTCAACGTGATATGTTCTTAAGCCATACCTCGCGGCCATTAAACATTACAGTTCCTGGTATTTCCTAAGCGGTCACCCATCTTGGTTCTGACCGGATTCTTCGTTCCTTACCTTCGTTGATCGTACGAGAACTGATGTTTCAACGTGATATGGTCGGAAGCCATACCTCGCGGCCATTAAAGTTCCTGGTATTACAGTTCCTGGTATTCCTAAGCGGTCACCCATCTTGGTCTTTAAAGACCAGGTTCTACGTTCCTTAACTTCGTTGATCGTACAGTACTGATGTTTCAACGTGATATGGTCGAAAGCCATACCCCGCGGCCATTCATGATTACAGTTCAGGTATTCCTAAGCGGTCACCCATCTTGGTCCTGACCAGTTTCTTCGTTCCTTAACTGTTGATCTTACGAGAACTGATGTTTCAACGTGATATGGTCGTAAGCCATACCTCGCGGCCATTAAAGATTACAGTTCCTGATATTCCCAAGCGTTCACCTATCTTGGTCCTGACCAGTTTCTACGTTCCTTAACGTCGTTGATCGTACGAGAACTGATGTTTCAACGTGATATGGTCGTAAGCCTTACCTCGCGGCCATTAAAGATTACAGTTCCAGGTATTCCTAAGCGGTCACCCATCTTGGTCCTGACCAGTTTCTTCGTTCCTTAACTTCGTTGATCGTCCGAGAACTGATGATACAACGTGATATGGTCGTAAGCCATACCTCGCGGCAATTAAAGATTACAGTTCCAGGTATTCCTAAGCGGTCACCCATCTTGGTCCTGACCAGTTTCTACGTTCCTTAACTTCGTTGATCGTACGAGAACTGATGTTTCAACGTGATATGGTCGTAAGCCATACCTCGCGGCCAATAAAGATTACAGTTCTTGGTATTCCTAAGCGGTCACACATCTTGGTTCTGACCAGTTTCTTCGTTCCTTAAATTCGTTGATCGTACGAGAACTGATGTTTCAACGTGATATGGCCGTAAGCTATATCTCGCGGCCATTAAAGATTACAGTTCCTGGTATTCCTAAGCGGTCACCCATCTTGGTCCTGACCAGTTTCTTCGTTCCTTAACTTCGTTGACCGTACGAGAACTGATGTTTCAACGTGTCGCGGCCATGGTCTTAAGCCCTTACCTCGCGGCCATTAAAGATTACAGTTCCTGGTATTTCTAAGCGGTCACCCATCTTGGTCCTAACCAGTCTCTTCGTTCCTTAACTTCGTTGATCGTACGAGAACTGATGTTTCAACGTGATATGGTCGTAAGCCATACCTCGCGGCTATTAAAGATTACAGTTCGAGGTATTCCTAAGCGGTCACCCATCTTGGTACTGACCAGTTTCTTCGTTCCTTAACTTCGTTGATCGTACGAGAACTGATGTTTCAACGTGATATTGTCGTAAGCCATACCTCGCGGCCATTAAAGATTACAGTTACTGGTATTCTTAAGCGGTCACCCATGTTGGTCCTGACCACTTTCTTCGTTCCTTAACTTCGTTGTTCGTACGAGAACTGATGTTTCAACGTGATTTGGTCGTAAGCCATATCTCGCGGCCATTAAAGATTACAGTTCCTGGTATTTCTAAGCGGTCACCCATCTTGGTCCTGACCGGTTTCTACGTTCCTTACCTTCGTTGATCGTACGAGAACTGATGTTTCAACGTGATATGTTCTTAAGCCATACCTCACGGCCATTAAACATTACAGTTCCTGGTATTTCTAAGCGGTCACCCATCTTGGTCCTGACCGGATTCTTCGTTCCTTACCTTCGTTGATCGTACGAGAACTGATGTTTCAACGTGATATGGTCGGAAGCCATACCTCGCGGCCATTAAAGATTACAGTTCCTGGTATTCCTAAGCGGTCACCCATCTTGGTCTTGACCAGGTTCTACGTTCCTTAACTTCGTTGATCGTACGAGTACTGATGTTTCAACGTGATATGGTCGAAAGCCATACCTCGCAGCCATTCATGATTACAGTTCCAGGTATTCCTAAGCGGTCACCCATCTTGGTCCTGACCAGTTTCTTCGATCCTTAACTTCGTTGATCTTACGAGAACTGATGTTTCAACGTGATATGGTCGTAAGCCATACCTCGCGGCCATTAAAGATTACAGTTCCTGATATTCCCAAGCGTTCACCTATCTTGGTCCTGACCAGTTTCTACGTTCCTTAACGTCGTTGATCGTACGAGAACTGATGTTTCAACGTGATATGGTCGTAAGCCTTACCTCGCGGCCATTAAAGATTACAGTTCCTGGTATTCCTAAGCGGTCACCCATCTTGGTCTTGACCAGTTTCTACGTTCCTTAACTTCGTTGATCGTACGTGTACTGATGTTTCAACGTGATATGGTCGAAAGCCATACATCGCGGCCATTCATGATTACAGTTCCAGGTATTCCTAAGCGGTCAACCATCTTGGTCCTGACCAGTTTCTTCGTTCCTTAACTTCGTTGATCGTACGAGAACTGATGATACAACGTGATATGGTCGTAAGGCATACCTCGCGGCCATTAAAGATTACAGTTCCAGGTATTCCTAAGCGGTCACCCATCTTGGTCCTGACCAGTTTCTTCGTTCCTTAACTTCGTTGATCTTACGAGAACTGATGTTTCAACGTGATATGGTCGTAAGCCATACCTCACGGCCATTAAAGATTACAGTTCCTGATATTCCCAAGCGTTCGCCTATCTTGGTCCTGACCAGGTTCTACGTTCCTTAACGTCGTTGATCGTACGAGAACTGATGTTTCAACGTGATATGGTCGTAAGCCATACCTCGCGGCCATTAAAGATTACAGTTCGAGGTATTCCTGAGCGGTCACCCATCTTGGTCCTGACCAGTTTCTTCGTTCCTTAACTTCGTTGATCGTACGAGAACTAATGTTTCAACGTGATATGGTCGTAAGCCATACCTCGCGGCCATTAAAGATTACAGTTCCAGGTATTTCTAAGCGGTCACCTATCTTGGTCCTGACCGGTTTCTACGTTCCTTACCTTCGTTGATCGTACGAGAACTGATGTTTCAACGTGATATGGTCTTAAGCCATACCTCGCGGCCATTAAAGATTACAGTTCCTGGTATTCCTAAGCGGTCACCCATCTTGGTCCTGACTGGTTTCTTCGTTCCTTAACTTCGTTGATTGTACGAGAACAGATGTTTCAACGTGATATGGTCGTAAGCCATACCTCGCGGCCATTAAATATTACAGTTCCAGGTATTCCTAAGCTGTCTCCCATCTTGGTCCTGACCAGTTTCTTCGTTCCTTAACTTCGTTGATCGTACGAGAACTGATGTTTCAACGTGATATGGTCGTAAGCCATACCTCGCGGCCATTAAAGAATACAGTCCCTGGTATTCCTAAGCGGTCACCCATCTTGGTCCTGACCAGTTTCTACGTTCCTCAACTTCGTTGATCGTACGAGAACTGATGTTTCAACGTGATATGGTGGTAAGCCATACCTCGCGGCCATTAAAGATTACAGTTCCTGGTATTCCTAAGCTGTCACCTATCTAGGTACTGACCAGCCACGACGTTGCTTAACTTTGGTGATCGTAGGGAATCGGTATTTCAACGTGATGTGGTCGTAAGTCTTTTATACTACCCGCAAATCAAAACTTTTTCGATGAATAATGAATTTTTACAAGAATTGTTTGCATTTTTCTTTTAGTTTTTTAATTAAAAAAAATGTTTTAAAATTCTTCCAGAGTACGGGCTAGGTTATTAAGTTTGTAAGTGAAGACTATTTACTAAGAAAAAATTAAAAGCTTAATACAAATCATGCTACCAAAACTTTATACCATAATTAGAGATATTTTTTGTGCGTCAAAATATTAGATTTTTTTAGTATGGCAAGTTAAAAGGTCACGTGTTTCAAGGCTTGTTTCACCCTTAGGAAACTGAGATAATATAATAATTTTATTAATTATAATTTAATACTTGACAGTGAGGTGGGTATTAAAATATCATCTCACTCTCAGTTATTAAAGTGATAACAAATAATAATTTTATTAATTATAATTCATTTATTCAATTAAAAAGTGAATTATTGCGATAATATTAATAAAATTATTATATTTCAGTTATCAATGTAAAAATGTAATAACTAAGAGTGAGGTAATTTAATATAATAATTAATAATTTTATTAATTATTATATCTCGGTTATTAAATTAAAAATGTAATAACTGATAATTTTATTTTTATTAATTATTATATTAATTATCATATTATCTACCATTACAGAGGTAACTTAATAATTTAAGAAATTTTTATAGAATTTTAAATTATTATAAGAAAGCATAATTACCTAAAAGAAAATCAGTAAAATATTAGATAATTGCTTAAAATATTTTAATTTTTAAACATTATCTGGTAGTTAAAAAAACAAAAACAAACCGTTCTTAGAATTCGAAAATTTGTATCAACGTGATATGGTCGTAAGCCTTTTACCACACGCAAATCAAATATACAGTACCTAGTATTCTCAAGCGGTCACCTATCTATGTACTGACCAGTGACGATGTTGCTTAACTTCGGTATGTGTGTTGTGGTGAGTGTTCGTACGTGTTGGGGGTGTGCAGAATTAATTAATTGTAATTGAGTGAATCAGAAGGAATTTGTGTAGGTTGCGTGACTTTCTGCATCCACAAACAAATAAATAAACGAATTTGAAATACAATCAAAAACAAGTCATATTTAATTTAGAAACAAGAAATTTATATACAATTAACAGTAATTTATATACAGGACATTTTGGCATATGTTACTATGGCAAAGTGTGTGTGATATTTGAGGTTTCGGTATGTCTCTTTTTGTATTTGTATGTTCAGTTACAGTCTTTCTGGAATTGTGTTAATTAATATTAAAAATATCGATGTTCAGTGTTTTTAGGAATGAGTTCTTATAGAGTGGTCTACTTTTGACTGTAATATTTCGGAATCGTTCGAATGTTGATTTTTACTTAATAATGTAGTGAATATAGTTCACTTTGGATAATTAAGTTGTTTTAGGTTTGCGATTTGATGTCCACAGAGTTGGTCGAGATTAAATTGCAAGTGAGTCAGCGTTGATGTACTTTTGCGCGGTAAAGTCGTGATTTTGAGTGACGTGGAGTATGTTGGCAATTTCTCTGTGGATGTTCGTCTCTGACTCTTTTGGTCAGTCGGTATTTTCTTTTATATTTTTTTGAAAGTCCAAAATCGGCTCAAAGAAGTTTTGGCGCAATTTCGTTTTGCACGTGAAACTTTCAGATTATTGTGTCGTTAACCAATGAGATTTGTTGATTCGCCTAGTACGGTTTTTTATTGGTCGAAGTTTTCCGTACGTAGGCGTAAGGTATAGACTGTTCTGTTAATAGGGGTGATAGGTAGAAAAGGACGAGTCTACATACGTACGTGTATTATTTTTAGTGTGTTCCCAGAATTTAGGAAACGCTGTATCTGTTTGAGCTCACATCTGTGAGGTGGTATAAGGCCGAAGGCATGAGAAAAAAAAAAAAAGATCGAGGCGAAGGGTCAGCCAGTATTTATAGCCAGGGGAAAGAGACCCCTGGTGAGGGGTTAAGGAGCTAAGGAGGAGCTAACTCCGACAGTAATCCCTTTATACGACCCGCAAATCAGAATTTACAGTATTGGTATTCCCAAGCGGTCACCTAAGTACTGACCAGTCACAACGTTGCTTAACTTCGGTGATCTTACTGGGACCAGTGTTTCAAGCCGACTGAAACTTGGAGGCAGCTCGTAAAACAAACAAACATAGCATCTTCTTTTTTATTATAATTATTATGATTTATTATTATTATTATTTAATTTAACTAAACTGTCAAGTTAATAAATGTATTGTAACACACTGTTACTTTGGAATGACAGCCCTATTTAGATTATGTCTGTAAAAAACGTAAACACAAAGTGAAGTGCACTATAGAATGGTCAAACAACCGACAGAAACATCATCATCATTGCCATAAGCGGCTGAGAGAGAGAGAGAGAGAGAGAGAGAGAGAGAGAGAGAGAGAGAGAGAGAGAGAGAGAGAGAATATCTTAGCGTTGGAGAGCAATGCTATACATTAGAGAACAAGTGACAACAAATCCAAGTGACAACGAACCCCCACCTTTTTTTCTACGATTAAATAATTTCTCTACTACTTTTTATCAGGTGGCTATTTATCCGGAACATGAGAAGAAGAGTCAACAGCTCAACAAGGCATTGTAGAGGTCAGTTAGTTGGTGTGACCTCTCGAATTTATATTTACGCAAAATACCACAAAATATGAAACAATAAGAAGAAACACAAAACGGTTTTTATAACAACAATATTCATATTTATGTATGTCAATGATATACAAGCATAATTAATAGGAGTTACTTCCCTTTGACTGGAATTAAAGTCTTTACTAAGGAAATATTTTTATCTGAACTCATAGTAAGTTGAATGAATTTGCCGCTCAAAATGTTCATTGTGAGAGAGTTGAAAGAATTCTGGAAAGCTGAGAATATGTTGATAAGCTTTTAGCTCCAGAAGAGTCGAAGGAACGAATGTTCTGTAATGTTTAATTAGTTTCCGTTGATGGTAGTTGAATATTCGTAATATGTTGATGCTTGTAATGTTCTGTAATGTTCGTAATGTTAATATTTAAGTTTCTGTACGTACGTGTATACGTGTGGATGTGATGTTTTCATAGCGTCCGCCCGTAAAGGATCGAAACGCGATTTCTTAAACAGCCACATTTTAGTAAACGAGAAAAATAAAAAGAGAGTTGAAGAACGAACTTGTGTCTACTATTTATAATCAACGTAATCACGTGATCGGCTCCGGAAAGCATTTTTGATTTTTGGCGGGAAACTGGTTTTGAATAACGCGTAGGCGTTGTACGGACGTAGGCGAGAACATGATTTTAATGTTAACTGACCAATGATAAGTGAGAAAAAAATATCAAGGCTCTGTGAACAACTTTTTGCACAGATTTGCGCAAAAATTGACATTGATAGAAAAGTGGTAGCAGGACGCTAAAGCATCGTCCTACTGCAATAATGATAAGACGATAGGTAATGGGCCACCCAGTAAGCCTCGAAGTTACAAGTCTACCAGACTTGCTCGTTAACCATTACAGCATGGAAAAGTAAATATATTCACTAAGCACAATGCTTTAATGTGGAGCAATCAATTTGAACGTCATATAGTAACAACCCTAGTCTGCTCGACTTGTTCTCATTAACCATTTTTTTTTTATGATCCCAAGGATATTCTTTAGGAGGGCACAAGTTTATTGGTGTTGGGCATTTTGTAAAATAAAAACGTCGGACTCACGACTATAGTCCTGCTCATTAACCATTTAGCCCAAGGGAAAGTGTCTCACTTTTCGCATTCACTAAAGCTTAGTTTATTTAGTATAGAACGCAGGCACACACACACAAAGCTATAGGTGTGTGGTAATTAATTCGTAAATGTCGAGTCGACCAGTACCGCTTGTTAACCATTTAAAACCCAAGGAAATTATCTCAGCTATTCACCAGATATGTTTAGCTTAGTCTGGCACAAGGCTTCAGGTGTCGGGCACACAGTACAAACATCGAACAAATGCTCTACTGGAAAAGCTCGTTAACCATTTCCTCTAGTAGAAGCATTCCCGGTATTTTAATGAAGCTTAGTTTAGCTAGCACAAGGCTATAGGAGTTGGGAACCTGCTTATTTAAAATTTTAAAAAAATAATTTAATTCACTTCTGAATAAGTCCTGAAAGTTTCATTAAAATCCAACAATTATTTGATTTTTGCAAGAACTTCCAAATCAATGTGTCTTTCACTGGAAAAAAGGCGATAAAACACTAGTCGTAAATTATGTCGACCGCTGACGCAAAAAAAAAAAAAAAAAGGATTTTATTTTAACCAAAGTTTCAAACCTGCTAGAGAGGATTAAAAAAATAATAAATACAAAAAAATACTTTGGTCTTTCCTCTGAATAATAACATAAACATTTTGACATGAGTGTTACTGTTAAAACTAAAAGCATCTAAGTCGCAAAAGTTTCCACTTTTCTCAAATGAAAAGCCTTCCACTTAAATCTAGCTTTGTAAATTTAGTACAAATTTCAGCACAAAACTAAATGCTCCATTGTCCATACCTACAGGTGTTGGGGGTGCGGCACCTGGGCGTGGTGTAAAGGTTAGTAAGCTTGTCTCGCTAGATCAATTATGATTGAAAAGCGACTTCGATCCACACTATCTGCCTCAAACTTTCGGCCTTGTGCCACATCTAAGCTACGCTCAGAAAATCATTGGGCACCTCGAGGCGGTGTAGTGGTTAGCAAGCTTATCTTGCTAGAACATTTACGATCGTTAGCAAGCTTATCTTGCTAGAACATTTATGATTGAATAGTGAGTTCAATCCTCACTGGGTGCCCCATACTTTCGGCCTTGTGCCACATCTAAGCTACGCTTGGAAAACCACTACAGGTGTTGGGACCCTGCAAACTAACAACTACTATAATGTTGTTTGTCTCAATCGTTACCTTGAAATTTAGTTACTCGTCAGGTTGAATGAGAATGAGGTAAAGGGAAGTAACTGCGTATTTCCTTATTTTCTTATCCAATCCCCATCAGGTTGACATCCGGCTTTACAGGTTTTGGGTATATACTCAACCCTGTCACTTTTTTTTTATTCGTTATGATAAGAAAATAATAATGTCATGAAGCGTGATCAGTCTCGAATTTCATTCATTCGCAAGGACATCGGCCAAATGTTGGCTGTCCAAAAGCTGTTCTCATATGAAAACTTCGTTCATGCTCTCTCAGGTGCTACTGTAAGTATCAAAAATTATGTTTACGTTTTTTTCAGGCCATAAACGTGTGATTAAGTCGAATTTTCGATTTTTAATTAATTTTAATTTTTAATTATTTTTTTGTTTTAATTTATCGAATTTATGATTAAATAATAAGATGATAATTATTGTCAGACAGTTTAGGATTTTTGTAAATTGTTTAAAAAAGAGTCGAATGGAAAACAAACATCTGTGTTTTGTTCGGGAAAGGTCGGGAACAAACAGCTGTTTATTAATTTTTTTTTTAATAATTAATTGAAGATGAAATATTTTTCCGTTAAAATACGCAGTTGTTGTCCGTGGCAACGTAATTGAATTATAAAAATCAAATAATAAAAAAAATAATGTAATTAAGAAAAGAAAGAAAAAAAAAACAAGCAAAAAACAAACAGAAGAATAAGATTCGTCTTCTCTTCGAGTTGTTTGGTAAGTGAGGTTCGTTAGGGTACAATTCTAGATTTCTTCAGGGAAGTAGTTTTATTATTAAGAATCTGAAAGAATTATTTTCGCTTAGTAGCATCTTTGTGGTCATTATAAAAAAAAAAAAATATCCCCAAAACAGCAAATTTTTTTTTTGTTGAACACGAGGGCAGTGTTTAGTTTTTATTCCATTCATTCAGTTTTTTTTTTTTTTTCTTTTTCAAAATAAGTCATTGTTAAATGAATGAATCGTGAAAGAAAAGCAATAACCACAAACAATCGTTAATTTTAAAATGTTTCAAACGATTTCTGCATTTACATTTCTGATATCCCGATTTTTGATATTTTGAACTAGACTCATATTCTTCAGGGAACTCATTTGATTTGAGAAGTCTAGTACCAGAAAACGAAAAATACTGTCTAGAATGTAACAATTTAAAAAAAAAAAATCTGTTTGCTTGTATGTAAAAACTGATATTTCACCTCATCTTGGTGAAGACAAAAAAACAACAGTTTCTTTGGTCATTCCAATTCAGCACTAGGCTGACTTAAGCTTGACTATTATGACTATGCTTAAGCCTCCATTGCTGAAGTAAGTACAGCCTTTCTATTAGTAATTCCAACTCAGCACAAGGTTGACTTGAGCTTGACCAAATCGGGAGAATATAGTGGGTGCTGAAGAGTTTCCCATTTCAACTCTTTTAGCTTCTGCGTGGACTGCTTTAGGAGGCACGGTGGAGTAATGAATAGTTGCTCAGATTGAGGAATCAGAGATCCGAGTTTGAATTCCACTCAAATCCATTACATTCACTTACATGCTAATACACTTGAGAAAGGTATGAATCCTCTTCTTCTCCCTCCAGTTATGGGTAAATAGAAGGACAGGTTCTATAGCCTGGGGGTCAACATGGTTATAATAACCATGTTGACCCCCCCCCCAGCTATGAAGTAAGTGCAAACTTTTCTTTGGTTGTTCCAACCCAGTGCAAGGCTGACTTGAGCTCAACCAGTATAATGATGCTTATCCTTATTTACCCTAACTTCTGAACCAGAAAAAGAAAATGGACATACCCTGGACACATTGAGAACTTTGTTTCACTACAGTTGCCAAAAAAAAAAAAATAAATAAATAAACAGTCTGTAGTAGAAACCATTGTATGTTACTTCTTAATTATTTACATATGAACACACCTCACCTAAAATATAAACAACATGCAAACCTTTAAATTCCATACCTTCTTTTCTCCAAGAAATATGTGATGATGTGTGGGTTGTAATGGATTTCATGGTATCAACAGTAGAAACTTTTTCTGGACTGACATTTTTTTTTTCCATGTTCCCTTGCATGGTGTAAGCAAAGTTGGCTCTAAACAGATTCTTTTTTATTTATTATCTGGGATATACCATGAATTCCTGGAGAGAAAGTGGAGTTGAACTCTGTTTTTTTTTTTGTCATGGTTTTAAATAATCTGCTAGATCTGCTTGTTAACCATTACCCCAAGGAAAAGTCTTGCATGTATTCACTAAATGAAGCTTAGTGTGGCCTATAAAAGTGGGGCCAGTCATTAAAAATGTCATATTAATGACAATAGTCCATTAGACCTGCTCATTAACCATTACCCCAAGGAAAAATATGTCAGGTATTCACTGGTGTGGAACAAAGCTTTAGATGGAGTAATCAATTAAAATGTCATACTATAGTTCATTAACTTGTTCATTAAATAGTTCATTGCTTGTTAACCATTGCACGAAAAAAAATTCTCACATATATTCACTAAATGTAGTTTAGCATGGTACAAGGCTATAGGTGTTGGGCAGTCAATAAAAATGTCATACTGACAAGAATAGTTCATTAGATCACATTGTTAACCATTACCCCAAGGAAAAGTCTTGCAAATATTCACTAAATGTATCTTAGCATAGTACAAGTAAAAACATCATACTAACAACAATAGTCCATAAGATATGCTCGTTAACCATTACTCCAGGGAAAAAATGTCAAATATTCACAAAGTTTGGGTTAGTGTGACACAAGGCTCTATGTGTGAAGTAATCAATTAAAAAACATCTTACTAATGAGAAAAGTTCATTAGACCTGCTTGTTAACTATTACTCAAAGTAAAAATATCTCAAGTATTTGCAGTTGCAAATGTTTTTCATTGTTAATATAAAATAACTGCAATTTGAAGCTGGCATTTGTTTTGGTTGCAATTTGTGGGGTGTTTTCGATTGAAATTTTTTCATCATTCAGTTGTGAGCCAGATTCTGTTGAATGTTGACATTTTGTCCACAAATGAATGTCTCAAAGATGGAAGATGAAAAGCTGCACTTTTGCCATAGAGTAAGCATCAGAATTGTGAGAAAAAAGCATTCAGAAGGACATCAGCTCTTCGGACAGCCAAAAATTAGTTTGATGGATTTTGTTGGAGTGATTTATAACCTAAACAAACAACCATGCTCCGAGCAACATTCCAATGTCAATAAAGATAATCTGCTTGCCATTGTAGAGAATAAAATGAAGATTTTGATGGAAGAGATTGCTAAGAGTTTGAAAACTGGTATTTAAACTGCCTTTTTACCATTTGGGTTAAAAAAAAAAGGTCTGATTTTGGCAAATTGAAAAGGCGTATTTTTGCTCCACAACAATGCAAGATCATATATTGTAAAACAGACCATCAGTCAGTTATGTGCCATGTATGATACACGCTTAGGTGGTCATGTATCTTTTGATACATGACTGACGAGGCAGATGTTTTCCTGCAGTAGATTGACATTTCTTTCTACAGTAGACCAGTTGCCATCCAAGGCTATAGAACCTGTCCTGCTATTTACCCATAACTGGAGGGAGAAGAAGAGGATTCATACCTTTCTCAAGTGTATTAGCATGTAAGTGAATGTAATGGATTTGAGTGGAATTCAAACTCAGCTCTCTGATTCCTCAATCTGTGCCACTATCCATTATTCCACCGTGCCTCCTAAAGCAGTCCATACAGAAGCTAAAAGAGTTGAAATGGGAAACTCTTCAGCACCCACTATATTCTCCCGATTTGGCTCTTTTGGATTTTCATTTGTTCCAGTCTCTACAGAATAATTTAAATAAGTCAGCCAGTCGATTGGTTGGTTGATTTTGTCTGGGTTAATTAGGACTTGTATCAGTAATTCATTATTATTTAAAAGAATTTAAAAATTTAAATAACCTGCAAAAGGTTGATAACCTGTAAAAAATTGGATGACAAGTGACCATTATAATCAACTGTGATGAGGTGGCATCTCAACTTCCAAAAACGTGGTTTAAAGTAACAAATTGTTCCAAAACATAATCACAAAATTGATGAAAATGCTGTAAAATCAAATTAGAAATGTTTGCTTGATATCATTTCCATTTGGCATTTAAACATTTTGACACTCACTTGACTGATAGTATTTAGAAACCAAACTGGTCATCAATTATAGACTCATTACGTTCTCTGGACATCTCAAGTTTCTCTCTTGGTTGAGATTTGTCGATCAGCCCAAATTAGGAACTACAAGAATTTTGTGAGTTGCTGCTGTTGAAAACATCTCGGATCTTGAAGCATCAAAGTCTCTATATTAGAGCTTGGTATACCACTTCATCACAGTTGAATACGATGGACACTTTCACCCAATTTTTGTATTATACACACATGGATTTCTTTTCTTCTTCTTTTTTTTATTCATTTAACTCCATGCAAGACACAAAGAATTAATGAGTGTGAAAGAATATGAAAATAAGGATTATTATCATTATTAAGCAACAAGAATAGAAGAGTAATGAAGAAGACAGTAGATAATGATTGACATTGCATTTAAATTTTTGAAGATCAAAGTCAGCTGGAAAGCATGGAACTGGAAGAGAGTGAAAAGGTGAGAAAAGAAAGCATCAGCAGAGAACTTACAGTGATATTTTGTCAATACAACTGTGAATTGATGAAATGTTCAGTTTTCTTTTGCATGAACTGGAACTAAATGACAGTTCAAAGATTAATGAACTTTTATCTTTCTCTGTTTTTTTATAGCAGAAGAAATGCATTAAATTTATTTAAAAAGTAAGAGGACCAATTTCTTTTTAGATTCTGAAAAAAACAGTTTTCATTTTTCATTATTAAGCATTACGTTAGCAGTTTTCACAAGGTTTTCAACATTTTTGTTACTATACTTCATCAGATCTTATAGACAGGTGCTACGAAATCACAATAGACAAGCTTTAACAAATAATAAAAACATCTCAAAACTGAAGACTTTCAACAGCAGCAACAGTAAAAATGAGTTGCACATGATACTAGGTGAGAAAAAAAATTGATGTAATAAAGATGTCAGCTTTCCACACTACCAAAGGCAGAATAATTGGAAGGAAACTTCTGTCAGGATTAGAAAGTGCTATAACATTTAATAAGTTTTTTATGAGTTTTTTATAAGAGCAATAACATTAAGTGGACTTGAGAAGTCTAATCTGAAAAATTATTTTTTTGTTTGTTTTTAATCTTTCACACCAAGCAAGGCAATAAAGCCACTAAGTACACACATGGATTTCTTTTCTTTAATTCATTTCACCCCATGCAAGACCGTATATTGTAAAACAGACCTTGCAGAGACTAAAAGAGTTGAAATGGGGAAACCCTTCAGCACCCACCATATTCCCCCTGATTTGGATCCTTTGGATTTTCATTTGTTCCGGTCTTTACAGAACAATTTAAATGACAAAAAAATTGACTATTTACAGTCAGTGGAAAGTTACTTCACAACCTTTTTCCAACAAAATATACAAAGTTTCTATGAAAATGGCTTCAACAAGCTTGTAGAATGACGAGAGATAGTTATTAAAAACAATGGAGACTACATCCTTGATAAATAAATGTTGTTTAGTGAGTATTTAAAATTTTGTTTTTAATTTTCTAGTCAGGCACAAACTTTTACAATGGTCCCATATATATGAGCCATTGCCCTGTGGAACCAACTCCCAGGATGTTTCTCTGATCACTACAATCTTAACTTGTTCATGGCTAGGGTTAACCATTATCTTCCACACCTATATGCACAAATGGTCACCTAACCTCTACCCTGAGTGGCCCCCGGGCCTTGTAAAGAATGAGCCTTCTGTAAAAATAAATAATAAATAAATTCCATCTCTATTATATTTCTGATTATATTTAACTCTTAAATGAAGTCAAATTGTGATATTGTTGCATATTTATTTGAATTTTTTAAACATTCTTTGAAAATTTAAAATGAATTCCTGTGATGTTTTTTTTGTTGTTTTTTGTTTACAGGGAAGCTCCATTGCTTTAAGTGCTTTTTTTCCTTTTGAAACTGCACGGACAAGAAAACAGCGTAAGTTACATGAGCATTGTAAAAAGAATATTTCTTATTGGATCAGTATTTTTTTTTTACCACAATTAATTAACCCTTCATTAGTACCCTTCATTAGTACATTGAACATCACACAAGATACCCCCCTCTCTGCCTTCCATCAGCATGGCTGATGCTAACCATCAGGAAAGTAAATCATTGTACCTTCTCAGGCTAACATTCTCAGATGACATGAAGTAGAAAGACTATACTGAATCTATTCCTAGGTCAGGGGCTAAGAAAATCAGTTCACTTTGTTATGTGAGACAATTTTTCTCTCCAGAATCTATCTTACATATCAGTAAGTCTGCTATTCATCCATGCTTAGAATATTGCTGCCACATATGGTCCTGTGGCCTTGCTATTTACCTAGAGCTCTTTCTGAAGAAGCTTTCTGAGTGGACTTGCTAAATGCAAGTCCACTCAGAAAGCTTCTTCAGAATTGTGGCTTCATGGAACAGACTTCCAAGAGGATGCTACCTTGACAACTACAATCTTGGTCTCCAAGTCCAGGGTCAACCAATATCTATCTAGTAAGGTAAATGGTGCAGCCACTTGAATCTGAGGATGCCAGACAGAGAAAGGTGTAATCAAGTGTACAGTAGATAGTGATTGACATTACATTTATATTTTTGCAGATTAAAATTGGCTGGAAAGCATGGAACTGGAGCTGTAAGAAGTGCGAGAAAAGAAACTTAGCATGGAACTTATGGCTATATCTATATCTATATCTAGCCAGCTGAACTGTCAATTGATGAGGTCTTGATGCCAGTTTAGTACAGCACTTAAATTCATGAAGTCTAGGTACTGCAGTGAAGTGCTCATTCAAACAATTACCATGAAAGTATTTATAGAAAAGACACAGGGATGCAACCTTATGCCAATAGGAAAGTGACTGAAGCTGAGCTGCCAGATCAGGGCGGATAATATTGCTGATTCTTCTTTGGATTTTATCAAGGAGCTCTAGGTAAATAGCAAGGCCACAGGACCATATGTGGCAGCAATATTCTAAGCATGGATGAATAGCAGACTTACTGATATGTAAGATAGATTCTGGAGAGAAAAATTGTCTCACATAACAAAGTGAACTGATTTTCTTAGCCACTGACCTAGGAATGGATTCAGTATAGTCTTTCTACTTCATGTCATCTGAGAATGTTAGCCTGAGAAGGTACATTGATTTACTTTCCTGATGGTTAGCATCAGCCATGCTGATGGAAGGCAGAGAGGGGGGATCTCAAATGATTAACAGAGAGAGTTTAGTTTTTGAGGCATTAAAATTAACAAACCATTGCCCCAGTTAATGATGGACTTGTGGTCGTTTTGGACACTGGCTGCCATTTTGACCTTGTTAGACTGATCAGCCTTACCATCGAGTCAGGAGTTAATTGTTGTGTCATCAGCGTAGATGTTAAGTTAAGAGCTCATGTCATTGGGAACATCATTAATGAAAATTAAAACTAGAGGGCCAAGTACATCTGCACTAGTACGGAAAGATGTAGACGAGTGGCTGTTCAGGATAACTTTCATTTCATGATTTGATAGGAAAGACTGGATCAGTTCAGAAATGTATCTGGAGAAAGCATAACTTTTCAGCTTGTGGAAAAGACTTGTATGCTAAATCCTGTCAAAGGCTTTCAAGATGTGCAGGCGTCACCGTTTTTATCTAGAGCATGATAGACTCTTACCACAATTATCATCAGAACATCAGCAGTTGACCTGGAGAAATGAAAGCCATATTGATTGTCTGAGAAAAAGCTCTGTGATGAGAGATGCTGACCCAATTCTGCATTGATTAGGGCCTCTCAAAAACAGGTAGAAAGCTAATAGGCCGATAATTGGAAGGGTCAGAGGGTTCATCAGAGTTCTTAAAAAACAACAGATGATGACTTCCAGCAGGCAGGAAAGCAGGAGGCAGCGAGACGTTTATTATACAGTTTAGAGAGAACAGGAGCCAGTTCAGGAACACACTTCATAATGACTATTACAGGGATACCATCAGGTCCACATGCTTTGTGGGGATCAAGGTTAAAGATGATAGTAGAAACTATGGAAAGGGTTATATGTATATCAGTTAACAGAGATTCAATTCTAAGTGAGAAGTTAGGCAGGAATTCTTTAGATGAATCAAAGGTAGAGTTTGAGGAAAATTTACAGGCAAAGCATTCAGCTTCATCAGCAGAGGATGATAGCCTCTCAAATTGATTGAAGAAGGGAGGAATAGAGACCATGTACTTATTTAATACAGAGCTGCCAGTAATCATGAGAGCCAAAATTTTTTAATGGCTATGTGGTGCCTCATTCTCTTGGCAAGTAGGGACTTAGTTCCTTCAAGGACTCACTCACATTTATTATGTGCAGTAATGTATAGGCATCTGTTATGATGAGAGCTGAAAATAGTGGTTCCTGTGTGATATAGAAGCTGAGCATGCTGGTGTGAACTATAGAGAGGATTGAGGTTTCATCTGGTATTTCTGAGAAGGGATGAAAGTGTCCATGGTAGCTTTGACCCAGGAAGAAAGTGGCACAAATTTCAATTGGAAAGATGTCACTCCAAGGGGTGTCACAAAGAAAATCATGGATTGAGTTCCACTCAATAAGCTGGTAATGGAAAGAGGTCTTATGGATAGTCAGTCAGTTATGTGCCATGCGTGATACATGCTGAAGTGTTCATGTATCTTTTGATGCATGACTGACGAGGCATATTTTTTCCCGCAGTAGGTTGCCATTTCTTTCTGCAGTAGACCAGTTGCCATTCAAGGCTATTGAATCTAGTCTGTTCTGCTATTTACCCATAGTTGGGACAAGAAGATGAAGCTTCATATGTTTCCCAAGGGTATTAGCATGTAAGTGAATGTAATGGATTTGACTGGAATTCGAACTCAGCTCTCTGATTCCTCAGTCCGAGCCGCTATCCATTACTCCACCATACCACCTCTTAGGGATTGGGCATTCCTGTTTAATGGATGATTGGAATGAAATATGAAAGTATACCACAAAGTGGTACAAGTTAACAAGAGGCAAGCGTGAGGGGAGGAAGTGAGAAATAAATCAAGTAGAAATGCCTTTTGCTCGGTTTTGCTATGGAAATGAGTAGGGAAGTCCACGTTTTGAATAAGGGATTGGTCAGTGGAAAAATTTAATGTCTGAATACTGGCAACATCAGTACGTTTTATAATGTTTCAGCCACATGTCATGATGAGCATTAAGGACATCACTGACAAAGATGTTTGCAGATAGATGGAGAGAAAGTGCCTTTTCTATACTGTCAGCTATTATGTCTAATATACTGCAATCCTGGGAGGAGGGAGAGTGATAAAGGAAAACAAGATAGCTAACAGGGTTTTGTAACGAAATACAGAAGCTCATAAAAAGATTGTCATGGGGATGGAGAGACAATTCCCTGGTCATCAGAAGATTATCCCAAATATAGACACTAAGGCCATGTATGTGAATACAGGAATATTTTCAGCAAAGGGAAAATAGCCTGCAACCAAGAATTCAATGGTATATATATATATATATATATATATATATATATATATATAATAAATTATATATGGTAGCAATATATATATATATATATATATATATATATATATATATATATATAATAAATTATATATGGTAGCAATATATATATATATATATATATATATATATATATTAATAAATTATATATGGTAGCAATATATATATATATATATATATATATACAACTAATATAATTAATATATAATTTCATATATATATATATATATGAATTATTATATATTAATTATATTAATTGTACAATAATATATATATATATGAATTATTATATATTAATTATATTAATTGTAGCAATATATATATATATATATATATATAATTATTATATATTAATTATATTAATTGTAATATATATATATATATATATATATATATGATTATTATATATTAATTATATTAATTGTAGCAATATATATATATATATATATATATATGAATTATTATATATTAATTATATTAATTGTAGCAATATATATATATATATATATATGAATTATTATATATTAATTATATTAATTGTAGCAATATATATATATATGAATTATTATATATTAATTATATTAATTGTATTAATATATATATATATATATATATATATATATGAATTATTATATATTAATTATATTAATTGTAGCAATATATATATATATATATATATATATATATGAATTATTATATATTAATTATATCAATTGTAGCAATATATATATATGAATTATTATATATTAATTATATTAATTGTAGCAATATATATATATATATATATATATATATATATATATATATATATAATTATTATATATTAATTATTGTCGCAATATATATATATATATATATATATATATATATTATTCTCTCATTTGGATATATATATATATATATATATATATATATATATATATATATATATATATTTAAAAAAAAAAAAAACCGCAAACATTTTTGGTTATAACATCGATTGTTTTTGTGTATATATTATATTTTATTCTTCATATATTTTTGCTACACGAGTTTCCTTATGTTCTTTTAATATTTCATTGTTCATTTTCTGCATTTGTAGTGAGCCTTGATGTCATTTTTTTTTATCACTTAGGCAGAAAGTCACTTTTGCCAACAGTCAAAAAAATATGAAGAATAAAAAAGAATATATACACGAAAACATATTCACATCATAACCAAAAACGTTTGTGGTTTCTCTCTTTTTTTCTTTTTTAAATATACACTTTTTTATTCTTGGAACAATTTTAACCTTTTCCCTATATATATATATATATATATATATATAGAGAGAGAGAGAGAGAGAGAGAGCATAAGGTATATTTAGGCAGCAAGTATTCATCCAAACATATTTGACTAAAAACAACTGACAAGATCTGTCTATTTTTTTTATTATATTTTTCTAATTTATGAATAAGGAGTTAAATATTGTACTCAAATTTATGGATACATTGTCCAAAGTGTATATTTTGTTCAAGTAACTTTGACTATTGCAATCATTACCAAGAACCAGTGTGTTGTCTGTATGGTAGTTAGAATTCCTTTGTCTGCATCCTGGTTTTCTTTGAGAAGCTGGACATTTGAAATAGTCTAGCATGACATTGTGTTTAACAGTTATTGAGAACGACACTGCATAAAAAGAATGCAATTTATTTATTTTTTATTATTTCATTTGTTTGTATTTTTTCTTATACTTAAATATGTGTGTACATTCATTATATCATATCCATTTCAAGATATCATCTCCTGTAACATATGATATTTTATTTAATGTGGGCTGTTTATTGGGTGCATAGAGTATTTTGGTGTAATCTACTAATATTTGTCTGATGTTGATAGTTACATTTTGGTCGCTGGTTGATGTGTGCATGGCTAAAACATTAAACAAACCTTAATCAACAATAACTTAATAGCATATGTCATTTGTATGATAAATCAAAACATTTTGTAAACTAAAATATTTATTAATAAATTTCAAACAAATTTAAAACTTTAATTTAGCCAACTTCTGGTCAGTTTGTATTGCCATAGAAAATAGTGATAATTATTTTGGACTTTTTCTTCTTAAAACAAAATTTTCTTATGATATACAATGAAAATAGATACATGTAAACAAAAAAAAATCACCTCCCCACCTCAACCTTTCTTTCTCTAATATTCATTCATTCCAATTTCTGTAGTAAGAATTAAATACTTAAAGCGGTTTCCAGATAATTTCACATTTTGTGCAACTAATTTAAATTCTTCTATTGCTACCAATGAATTCTCTGTTCCAGGCTGTCTTCCTGTTACCGAAAAATTCTAGTATATATATGTATAGCTTCAGTGTTTATATTCAGGAAAAACTCCCAATTGCAAGGAAATTGTCTCTTGAGTCCCCAGATAATTCTTTCATGTGCTTTCAACTTTCGATATTGCACTCTGTTAGCTATCTCTTTTCCCTTTATCACTCTCCTTCTTCTCAGGACTGTAATAAATTAAACAAAATTTTTGATAATATAGAAATGGCTCTCTCTCTACATTCATCTATCTCAACCTTTCTTTGTCCAATATTAATGGAATTCATTCCAATTTCTGTAGTGTAGAATCTTTTCTCTTGAAACAGGCTCCAGATATCTTTGCACTTTGTGAAACTAATTTAAATTCTTCTATTGCTGCCAATGAAATCTCTGTTCAAGACCATCTCCCTCTTTGCTGAAAAGATTCTAGCATACATATATATGGCTCCAGTGTTTATATTCAGAAAAATTTCCTTCTCTCTCTATTCATCTGCAAATATTTCTGTGTTTGGTGATTTTAATGCTCATCATGTCAAGTGGCTTAAACATTCTAATATTACTGATGTTTCTAGTATTCAGACTATCAATTTTTCAGTTGCTCAGTCTCTCATTCAAATAGTGGATTCTACTCATTTCCCTAATAAACCTGATCAACATTCTTCTTTACATGATTTGTTCTTTACCTCCTCTCTTAGCTCTGGTTGAGCCTCGCAACTCTATTCTCATGGCAATTCAGATCATGCTGTAGCATCTGTTGATATTTTTTTTGAGTCGTCTATCAGAAAGGGACCTCCTACTCATAAGACTTCTTTCTGTTACAAGCATTCTGATTGGGGTTCATTTTGTGACTTTCTTTGAGATTCCCATTGGATTGATATTCTTAAACTTCCTCTTCAGATGTTTCTTCTTGGGTTAAAGCCGGAATTGATGCATTTGATATATTCTTGTAAATACCAGGTGAAACCTCAACTTCTCCTTGGTTCACTCAGCTGCTGTAACCCACTGGAATAATTTTTTCCAGGTGTTCCAGCATGTTAGTTCCAGTCACAACAGACCCCGCTTTGTGTCTGTTCATAATAATTGTAAATTTGTCCTCAAAGTGGCTAAATCTTTGTTTGCTGATAGAATGAAACGCTGTATAGCCTCAAACAAATCTGGTTCATGTGACAACTGGCAGCTCTCTAATAGTGTGTTAAATAAGATTGAGTCTTCTATTCTTCCTCTCTTTACTTAGTTTGAGGCATTAACATCTTCTTATAAAGAAGAATGTTTTGCTCGTAAAATCTCTTCAAATTCTACTCTTGAATCATCTGGAATACCTTTGCTTGTCATTCCACTTAGAACTGATTCTCTATTAAGATGTATGTAACCCCCTCCATGGCTTTTGCTATCATCTCTAAACTGGATCCTCAAAAAGCATGTAGACTTGATGCTATCCTTACAAAAATCCTTAAGAAATGCACTCCTGAATTGGCTTCTGTTCTCTCTAAATTATTGCTGCTTCTTTCTTTCCTGCTTACTAGAAATCCTCTTCTGTAGTTTTAGTCTTTTAGAACTCAGGTAAAACATCTAATCCTTCTTTCAGCCAATTAACCTTCTACCTCTTTTTGGTAAAGTTCTAAAGACTCTAATTAACTTGAAGCCTCTTCTTTCAGATAAGCAATTTAACTTTTGCTTCTCTAGGTCAACTTCTGATGTAGTAATGATTATTACAGAAAGCATCTATGAAGCTTTAGATAAGAATGGTTCAGCTCAAGCTCTTACTTTGGCTATCTCAAAGGTACTTGACAGTTTAACATACTGGTCTTCTTCACAAGTTGAAAGGTTATGGTATTTCTGGATGGATTTTTGAACTGTTTTAGTCTTTCTTATCAAATTGTGAAATGAATGTTGACTTTAGTGGCCACTCTTCTAGATCTTTTGCATTAATGCAAGTGTTCCTCAGGGCTATATCTTTGGATCTGATCAGTTTGATGACCTACAATGTGTTGTTAACTGAGGAAACCGTGTAAGGCATGGGTTTAAACCTTGTTGGGATTTCAAAACTGTGTAAGGCATTGGTCACCTTAAATTTCCTCAAAGAGAATTGGGAACCGTGTAAGGCATGGGTTTAAACCTTGTTGGGATTTTAAAACTGTGTAAGGCATTGGTCACCTTAAATCTCCTCAAAGAGAATTGGGAACCATGTAAGGCATGGGTTTAAACCATGTTGGGATTTCCAAACTGTGTAAGGCATTGGTCAACTTAAATCTCCTCAAAGAGAATTGGGAACCATGTAAGGCATGGGTTTAAACCTCATCGGGATTTCAAAACTGTGTAAGGCATTGGTCATTTAAATTTCCTCAAAGAGAATTGGGAACAGTGTAAGGCATGGGTTTAAACCTCATTGGGATTTCAATACTGTAAGTAATGGGCTTAAGCCTCCTCAAAGCAAATCCAGAGTAGTGGCCATTTAGTTGCTGGATTTTCATTTATCCAAATACCTAGTCTTTGTCTAACAATGTATTGTAAATTACTAGTTGTTTTTTAATTGTTTTATAATTGTGTTTTTTTAGATTTTTGTTTTTTGCTTTGTTGAAAAAATCAATTCTGCATTTTTTTACTTTGCAGTCAATGATGATGAAAAATTCAAAACTACTTTTGAAATGTTAAAAGAAATTCTGCAGAAAGAGGGACTGTAAGTATATAATTGTTTAATTTTTGGACTTATACAGCAAAGAAATGTTTATAAATTATGTGTGTTCCTTTCCTACAGAATAGTAAATTTTACAGAAACTTCATGAAAATGATAGATTTAGCTTAGATAAGAAAAACACTGTAACATTTTTAATTGATAACATGACATATTCTGAGATCCTTGAGTAGACATGTGCATATTAGTAGATAGATAACTGAGTCTGCCTATATTTCTGAGATGAGGTATTATGTACATTATTTACATTATTCGGACTATTGTCCTCATCTTTGTTGCCATATTTATCACGTTTCGGTCGTTGTATGCTCCGGCCTTCTTCAGGTGGTTGGAATTTCGAACTGAACCCTTTATTTCGCTCACTGGGGTAGACTGTTCTAGTTCCACGTGCCATGTTTGACGGATGTCAGTTATCAGTTATCTCCCGCTAATTTCCCTCTGAAAGTTCTCGACTGCCTTAACCTTGAGGACACATGGCACAGTGGATAAAGGCATTGACTAGATCCAGTGACAGGACCCAAAGAGTTCAATACCTGGTTAAGGCAGTGGAGAACTTTCAGAGGGAAATTAGCAGGAGATAACTGATAACTGACATCCATCAAACAGTTGCTTGGAATAAAAATAACAATATTAAATAAAAAACAAAGTGGAAAGTTCATCAGAACAATTACCATGAAAATATTTATAGAAAAGGCAGAGGGAAGCTACATTAAGGCAACAGGAAAGTGACTGAAATCAAGATGTCAAGTGAAGGACCAATGACATTGCAGATTCTTTTTGTATTTTATCAAGAATCTTTAAATACAGAGCAAAGGCACCAAACCAAATATGGCAGTAATAATCAAAGTATGGATGAATGGTAGACTTATAAATGTGTAAAATAGTTTGTGGAAAATCTGTTGGGTTTTGGTTATTTTGGTAAATAAGATAAGGTTAATAAAAACACATTCACTGCTACCTAGGAAGTTTGGTCCCTTAATTTTCATAAAATATAAAGAATTGGGTCAATGTGCATCCTTGTCATTGGCTTTTTTTTCTCGTCATGTTATATAACACGTTTGGGTGCCATGTTTGTTTTTCTTACCAAAATCAGATTAAGGTCATATCACATTGAAACACTGGTTCTTGTTGATTGCTGAAGTTAAACAACATTGAGCCTGGTCAGTAGATGGGTAACTATTGGGAAATACTCGTCACTGTAAGCTTGGATGTGCAGGTGGTGTAATGGATAATAGCTCAGAATGAGAAATCAGAGAACTGAGTTTCCAATTTCAGTTGGGTTTGTTATATTCACTTATGTGCAGTAACCTTGGGAAAGACATGAATCCACCTCTCCTCTATCCAGCTATGGGTTAAATAGTAGAACAAGTACCAGAAAATCATTCTTTTCTCTAAAGAATTCTTATAATCCAAAAAGATGTTTTGGCTTTAAATAACGTTAAAAAGTTATTACAGCGTTTCAGTCATTGTGCCTCCCTGGTCTTCATCAGGTTTATATCAATCTGTGTAACTGTTGTGATGATATAACCCAACTTCCCCATTCACGATAATGGATGGACTGGTTGCCGATTAAGTACGACCACAGCGGACTGTCAAAAGGTCTTCACTTGTTAACACCTATTGAGGTTAGCATACTCCTGACTCTGTCTCTGTATTTTGACATACCTACATCCGATTATAAAATTATTGTTGAAAAACCAACACTCGAGTTTACTTTGTTTATTATATCTTGCACGAGATATAACAGTAACCTACAGGGAATTTTGAACTGAGCTCTTTATTTAATCTCTGGGGGTAGACTGTTCTTGTTACTCTGCTCATGTCTAGGGATATTGTCTAGTTTTTATTTTTTTTTAGTACTTCTCTGTTGCTTGCCTGTTTCCAATGAATCCAAGTACACATTGTCCAGCCCTGGAATTGAACTCACAATTACTGTCTCCAAATTCACAATTGAAAACTTTAATCCTCTAAGCCAGTGATTCTCAAGTACTATGCTGTGGCGTACTAGAGTATGACTGGATTCAAAATCCCTTCACAAATGTTCCTTGATTTATTGGGCATCAGTTATGTGAAGAGAAGAATTGACCACCATTTCTAGTGATCGACGGCTCAAAATAAAACATTCAACAGCACCCATTGATACATTTTGAATTTCAATACAAAAGGAATATCCCACATTAGTTAAAAAGACTTTATCCATTTTATTGCAATTTTCTACAGACTGTTCTCATTCTATTGCTCACGTCTAGAGATATTTCATCTGGTTCTTATTTTTAGTACTGTTCAGTTATTGCTTGCTCTGTTTCCAATGAGACCAAGTACAAACTACCCAACTCAGGGATTGAACTCACAATTACTATGTCACTAAATTCACAAATCATCACTTTAATCCACTTCTTTAATCCATTCCTAGTAGACGAAGGTGAGTAATAACTGAACAGTACTAAAAAAAAGAACTAGACAATATCCCTAGACATAAGCAGTGGAACGTGAAAAGTCTACTCATGCAGATTAAATAAAGTGTGCAGTTCAAAATTCCCTGCAGGTTACCCAGATTGATATATATCTGAAGAAGGCCAGAGGGAACAACGGCTGAAACATTATGGTAACAACAGCAAAGATGAGGACAATAGTCTGAATGTAAATAGTATAAATATTGATAACACATCATCCCAGAAATTCAGACAGAGAAAACCTAAAAAAGTTTGATAAGACATTAAAAAGAGTCAAATCAATTAATGAATAAAATTCTTACCAAAATCAGCTTGAAAAATCAAAATAAGGAACTAATAACATTGAGGAACCTCCAACCAGGGCAGATGAGGTCACTTACAGCAGCTGTTCATCATCATTGACCCTACATAATGTAGCTTTTTGCATTGTCTTAAATAAAGCCATGGAATGGATGCACATGTGTATTAGATGCAATAAATAAAATGCTACAAGATGTATGTGAACATTGTGTGGTAGTAAACAGGCTAATTTTTTTTTTCAGTTCTGGCTGGTATCAAGGCCTGCTGCCAATGATCTCATCCCTCTGGTGTTCCAACTTTATTTATTTTTATGCCTTCAATGGATTGAAGAATCTCTTTGACTCAGGGACAGGGAAGCCAAGTGTTGTAATGGATCTCAGTTTTGCCTTCATTGCAGGTGAGAAAATCTCTAAAAAAATGTGTTCACTGTGTTTTGCAATTGGTATGATTAGTTGATTTCTAAAATCAATCAGTTGTTAATTATCTAAATATTTGGGCGCTGCTGACAAGATAATTCTCAAACAATTTCTATATCCCGGTTCTTCTTACTTTGGCAGAGAAGCAGATATTGATTCAGGACAAATTTTTAGATAATGATGAAAGTAGTGACTGTTCTGGAGTGGCTGACAAGATATCACACAATAAATTTCTTTATCCCAGATCTTCTTACACTGGTAGCAAATCTGAGAAGGATACAAGACAATTTGCAGAGTATGATGAAACTGTGATTGTTTTGGAGTAACTGGCAAGATATGACATGAGAAATTTCTTGTCTTTGGTCTGGTAGAGAAGCAGATATTAAATTAAGACTTATTCTAGAGGATGATGAAAGCAATGATTGTTCTACATTGGCAGACAAAACATCACAGAGGAAACTTTTTCTGGCCTGGGTCTAGTACTAAAAAAGATATGACATGAAAAACTTCTTGTCTTTGATCTGGTAGAGAAGCAGATATTAAATTAAGAATCTTTCTAGAGGATGATGAAAGCAATGATTGTTCTACATTGGCAGACAAGACATCACAGAGGAAACTTTTTCTGGCCTGGGTCTAGTACAGAAAAAGATATGACATGAAAAACTTCTTGTCTTTGATCTGGTAGAGAAGCAGATATTAAATTAAGAATCTTTCTAGAGGATGATGAAAGCAATGATTGTTCTACATTGGCAGACAAGACATCACAGAGGAAACTTTTTCTGGCCTGGGTCTAGTGCATAAATAGATATTGGTCGGTGGATATGTATTTCATGCAGGCTTTGCCAATTTTGTATGATAAATGAGTGCAGTCATGGTTGGAAGATTATGTCGCCACAAGCTTCTACTGGTGTCAACATCTTGATTATGTCACTATTTTCTTTTCAATTTACATGTGTTATCCATCTTAGTTGTTGCTGTAGTTGAAAGTCCACATGAGGGCTGGAGATTCTGCAGCACTGGTCCAAGAGTTTAAAGAAGGCCTGTACTCGCAGATAGCTAGAGCCTTAATTTGTATATTTAACCATTGATCTGAGAATGTTATTGTATACAGCTGACAGTTTAGGTATTTCTAAATGATTTTGGCACCATGTATAGCATCCATATGAAAGTCTTGATCTGTTTAAAACTTTAAGAACATGAGTTGAGTTTTTAGGTTAATTTAGTATGTAATGGTCAACATCAGTGTACCTAGACTTCATCGAAGGTGACACCAGTCTAGATTGACATCATAGACAGTGACAATGTCAAATGTTATTTTGTTAATTCATGTTCTTTTATTGTTCCCTTTCTTTTTCTCATGTTCTCTTACACTTAGTAACCCCTTGAATCTTAGTGGCTTTATTGCTTTGCTTGGAGTGAAATGATTAAAAAAAGTAGCATTGACTGCTTGGTCAATGAATGGTGAATGTTTCCTTGTAAGAAAATGGCTAATATTGCACCATTGTCATTGAAATGCAATATAATTTAAAACCAAAACTGTTGGTTCCAATCCAAAGGAATGACTGCTAAAACCATCCCTGCCTAAGATTTATAGAGAAATCCTACAGATGCATGCTGAGATCTCATCTTAATCAATAAAAATGGACCACTTCTTGGTCTCATCTGCCACATTTTTTTTCTTTCTTTGAAATCTTTCTTGAAATCAGAACACTAGAATCACTTGACTGTATCCCTTTTTTATGTGAATGGCATTCTTACTTTTTGGACCTTTTTTTTGCCTTGTTTTGTCTTGCATATATATTGTTTGCTTAGTATAATTTTCCCCTGTTCTTTTTCTCCTTGTTTTTATTGTTTACAAGCAGCCATACTCAGCTGGTTGATCAGAAAAAGTGTTCAATTAGAATGGAGCAAAAATAACATCATGTTTAGATGTAACAGAGACTATCTTCTTCAATTACTTTAAAGTACTTTCATTAAAAACATTTTGAATCAATGTAGTTACTGATATAACAGAAGTAGTCAGTATTTATTCAATTGAAGGACATGAAGGGGTACAACAAGCAACATGAAGACAATCCAGACCACAATTATTTTTGGAATTTTTGAAATTCAATTTATCGATTTTTGATCGGCTTTATTGATTATTGATTTTTTTTTAAATTATCGAGTTTTTGCACTAAGAACCTATCTCTTACATTGTACAATGTATGTGCCAAGTTTGGTCAAAATCTGTTGGATAGAACTCGAGTGAAAAGGTATCACACACACAGACAGACACACACACAGACATTTGTTTTATCTCTATCTGTAAAAGGCAGGATGTGTGTGTGTGTATAACAAATGCATGGCCACAATTTTCGATGGATTTGCACCAAAATTTACATGCACGTGCTCCAAGTTAGCATTGACTTTGCATTTCCCAACTCCCATTGATAGTGGAAATAATCGATATTTTCATGCTTCTATGGCAGTTTTCATGTAGTTTGTGGCCATTTTGTACTGACAAGAGTGAGAGCCAATAGCTGGCTGCCACAAATAGGCAAGAAGATTCTATTGGCCAGCATGAGAGCCAACAGCTGACTGACACGAATGTTAACTAGCATGCTAGCATGCAAAAAAAATCGATAGCTGCATTCGTCACAAGTGGGAAAAATTAAAATCTGCATGGCACTTTACTCCAATTGGCTCATTTGCTTGCTTAAACTCAATGTTGATTCTGATTCTGCAGAACTGGGTTTGGGTGTGAAAAAGTATTTGTTGTTAACATTCTTTTTTCATTTGTTTTTTCCAGTTACAAGTCCTTTTTAAAGCTGATCGTTTTGTGTTCATTTAGTTTAGTTCTTTTTTCGTAACAGATTTAATGTTTAGTATAGAGCTTAGAAAAAATTTGCAGTGTGAGATAGGCAAGAAGTAAGGCATGTAGCAACATCAACACGGCAAAGGGCACTCCTTTAAAGGCAAGGATGACGAGAATACTATGGGCAGAGCACATAAGCAACATGGAAGTTTTAAGGGAAATAGGAACAAAAGGATACTTAGAATCAGAAAGAGGCAATTGAATTTTTTGGAACACATAATGAGGAAAGAAGGGTTGGAAAATTTGGCACTCACAAGACATTGATGGTAAGAGGAAGTGCATGAAACAGTAAGCAACTTACCTAATGAGTTTGCATAAATAGGTAGCAGAAAAGGAATTGGGAAGGAGAGTAAAAAGACAAACATTGCTAAGAGCTACAAAAGCTCGGAAGTTGTGGAGCGTCTGAAGCACCTAGAAGAGGATTTGTTTAATAACGCCAGCTGTATACATTATCTGGGATTAAATGTATAAGCTACTTTGTTTAAATAATTATTAACAATGCTTTTTTTTTTAAAATAGATAAAAAGTTTTGGGTAAACATGAACTTTTGTGCCCACAAAAAAAAAAAAAAACAATTTTTTCATTAGTCAGTATTTGTCTGGATTTTCTAGACATTTTTTAAAAAAGCTTACATTACTTAAAATTACTTTTTCAAAATTATGTTTTTCAAAAATGACTAGGAAGTGGTTTAAACTAATTGTTGGTTTCCTTAAGGACACATGGCACGGTGGTTAGATCCAGTGAGAGTGTGGGTTCAATACCTAGTTAAGGCAGTGGATAACTTGGGGGGGGGGTGATTTAACCGGAGATAACTGATATCCATAGAACTAAAACCGTCTACCCCAGCGAGTGAAATAAAAGGTTTAGTTCAACATTCCAGCCACCTGAAGAAGGCCAGAGTGTACAACGGCTGAAATGTTGTGATAAATATGGCAACAATGATGAGGACAATAGTCCGAATAATGTAAATAGTGTACATAATACCTCATCTCAGAAATATAGACAGATATTAAAGTTTTAGTCATTCAATAAAAAATATTAAAACAAGACATAATATGAGATAGAAAATAATCTAAAAATATAATGTATTATATTCAGAAAATCATATACAAATTTGTTTTATAATTCATTGTTTTAAAATTATAAATAAAAAACTTGTTTTTATAGTTATTTATAAAATGGTAAATAATAAATATTGTATTGTAGGGGGTTTACATGTTTTGATGATTTTTTGTTTTTAGTTTTTGAATAAAAATATTTCTTTTCACATTTATTTCTTTATAAAATGGTAAATAATAAATCTTTATAAAAGTGTTGTATTGTCAAAGTGAATGATACACAGAGAAGAATGAGTGCTTAATACCCATGTTAATGGATACATACAAAACACACAGAACAATATGTTACAAAACAATTAACAAGACAACTTACAAGGAATAAAGGAGGATCAAATGCTGTATAGCCAAATGAAGTAAGATCAGTCCGAATATTAATCAGCTTAGTATCAACTTATTAATCAACTGTTGAAGTCCTTAATCATAGACTATTTAAGGCTATGAGCCAGGCCATCTGGTAGAGTGCTGATGGGGTGCTAGCTACTCTACAACTAAAAGGTAAATCATTTTTAATAATCATGTAAATAAACATTGCTGAGGGAGTGAACATTGTGAGGCAAATGGAAATACTGTCCTTTTGAAACACCATTTTGTTTGTGGGCACAAAAGTCCATGTTTGCCAGATCATTTTTGTTGGTGGCTTTTTGATAAACAGTTTTAAATCATTATTAATGCTTTCTAACAAAACAAATGATATTAAAAAAATGCTTTTTTGCCTTCAGTCAGCATGGCTGATGCTAACTTTCAGGACAGTAACTCACTGTGCTTTCTTAGTCTCACGTTTTTTTTTGCTGACATGAACTAGAATTCACGATAACTTTCATTTCAGGATTTGACATGAAAGACTGAATCACTTACATTACTTACATTATTCGGACTGTTATCCTCATCTTCATTGCCATATTCACAATGTTTTGGTTCATTGTATGCTTCGGCCTTCTTCAGGTGGTTGGAATTTTGAACCAAACCCTTTATTTTGTCCACCAAAGTAGATTGTTCTAGTTCCACATGCCATGCCTATTCCAGATGTCTCAGTTATTTCCCTTTAACTCAACTCTCTGAGTTCTTTGGTTCACCACTACTGTGGCCTGGTATTGAACTCACATCACTTTGGGTCTAGTCACTGGATCTAACTAACATCTTTATCCAGTGGACAGACTGTGGATGAAATAAAGGGTTTGGTTTGAAATTCCAGTCACCTGAAGAAAGCTGGAGTGTACAATGGCCGAAACGTTGTGAATATGGCAATGAAGATGAGGATAACAGTCCGAATAATGTAAATAATGTAAGTAATTATAATACCTAATTTCCGAGCTATAGACAGATATTAAAGACTGAATCAGTTCAAAAATTGTTCCAGAAACACCGTATTTATTATTACTATATAAACGTAATTTTTAGTGGGTACACATGTTTGAGTTGGTATCCCCCCACTTTTTTTTTTTATTTTCTTAAACAAATTAATAACAACTGGCCTGAATCAAGAAGATACTTGTTTGCCAAGTTTTGATATCTTTCCACAAATTCTAATATCTCTCAACAGCAGTGGCTTCTAGAAGCTAATGAAAATTAACAACATGTCTGTATTTTTATTTTCCATTTTCTATTCAGGGATGATCAATGTATTGCTGACCTCTCCGCTCTGGGTAGCCAACACAAGAATAAAAGTAGGAGGGGTGAAGATAAAGAGATTGGGTGAGTCACAAACCCAATACGTTGAGTCGTATTCCGGTATCTGGGGTAAGTTAATATGTTTTTTTTTCCCTCTTCTCCCAATCCTCCTAGCACAAATCATGATATTTAGCGCTCAAAGTATTTTGAAGGATGAAAAAGAAAAGTAGCTTTGTTGCTGTACCTAAATAAAGAAGACTTCAATAACAATATCATTGATTAATGCTGCAGCTAAAAATCACCATAATTAATGTTGAAAGTGTTTCTAAGGTTAAATAATGCTCATGTTGCGGTGATTGAACAAAGAGTTCAATAACATATTATTGATCAACATCAAAGATGAAAATTACTATATTTACCTAAAAGTTGCCATGCTTATCTCCCCTTCATAATTAATACGCTTAATATGGAAAATTTCTCAAAATCACCATATTCATTTTAAATGTTCCAACAGACCAATCCCTGGAACTTAGATGTCTAATAATAGCAACAACAAAAGAACTCAATTATCGCCTTGTGTCAGCCTAAGCTAAGCTTTCAAATGATGCCTGATTTAAAATGAGCTAGACTTGGATGAGTGATAATATATGTTTAATCCTTACTAAGTGCTCAATTATTATAGCCTTATGCCATACTAAACTAAGATATCAAAGGATGTCTGTCTTAAACCAAGCTACACATGGATGAATGTTAATATGAGTTTGATTCTTACTGAGTGCTCAATTATTATAGCTTAATGCCATACTAAACTAAGATATCAAAGTATGCCTGTCTTAAATCAAGCTAGCCTTTGATGACTGGTAATATGTGTTTGATTCTTACTGAGTGCTCAATTATTAAAGCCTTATGCCATACTAAACTAGCAAAGGATGTCTCTTAAACCATGCTAGCCTTTGATGACTGGTAATATGTGTTTGATTCTTACTGATTGCTCAATTATTAAAGCCTTATACCATACTAAACTAGCAAAGGATGTCTCTTAAACCAAGCTAGCCTTTGATGACAGGTAATATGTGTTTGATTCTTACTGAGTGCTCAATTATTAAAGCCTTATACCATACTAAACTATCGAAGGATGTCTCTTAAGCCAAGCTAGCCTTTGATGACTGGTAATATGTATTTGATTTTTACTGAGTGCTCAATTATTAAAGCCTTATGCCATACTAAACTATCAATGGATGTCTCTTAAACCAAGCTAGCCTTTGATGATTGGTAATATGTGTTTGATTCTTACCGAGTGCTCAATTATTAAAGCCTTATGCCATACTAAACTAGCAAAGGATGTCTCTTAAACCAAGCTAGCCTTTGATGATTGGTAATATGTATTTGATTCTTACTGAGTGCTCAATTATTATGGCCATACTAACCTTTCAAAGGTGACTGTTTTAATGAGAAAGTAAAGTCGTTTGATAAAGTGTGTTACAAAGAACTACTTGAACTACTATTTAAGCTTGATTTATTTGGGGAGGATATTAAAATAATCCAGGACTTAAACTGGGATATACGGATAGAAGTGCATAAGACAAGGATGTGATTTCTCACCAGAGAAGTCAATAATTAAGTTGAAGTAATTCTGAGTAAATTAAAATTTCTCCCAGGATTCATTACATGGATACATTGTGTTTTAAAAGAGGACAGGAAATGTGACACTGAAATCTGAAGGTAGCAATAGTGAAAGATGCTTTCCAAAAGCTAAGCAATGCATTAAGAAACGGGAAATTTTGTTAGAAACAAAGAAAAGAGTAATGAACTGTTACATGTCAGTCCTCCTATATGGCAGTGAATGCTAGATAATCTCCTTACAGATGAAGAAGAGACTTGAAGCAACAGAAATGTGGTTCTGCAGAAGGATGCTGAGGATAAAATTGACTGAACATGTGAGCAATGCCTAAGTAGTAGAGAAAAGGAAACTTATATTTAACATCAGAAGTGGACAATTTAAATTTTTAGAGCACATAATGAGGAAAGAGGACTTAGAAAATTTGATACTCACAGGACACATTGAAGGCAAGAGGAATAAAGGAAAGCAGCACATAAGTTACATAATTAGCTTTTGTAAATGGTTGGCAGAATAGGGATTAGGAGAGATAGCAAAAATGACAAAACTGATAAGTAAAAAATTAATAATCATCATGATTGACAATTCTGTCCATATCTCTGAGATGAGGTATTATGATTACTTATATTATTTACATTATTTGGACTATTATCATCATCTTCATTGCCATATTCACAACATTTCGACAGTTGTACACTCCGGTCTTATTCAGGTGGTTAGAATTTTGAACCAAACCCTTTATTTTGTCCACTGGGGGGTTGATTGTTCTAGTTCCACGTGCCATGCCTCTTCTAGATGTCTTGGTTATTTCCATCTCTCCATGTTTCGGTTCACTACTGCTGTGGCCTGGTATTAAACTCACAACTCTCTGGGTCACTGGATCTAACCAATGTCTTGGCGAATGAAATAAAGTGTTTGATTCGAAAATCCAATCAACTGAATAAGACCAAAGTTTACAACGGCTGAAATTTTGTGAATATGGCAATGAAGATGATGATAATTGTCCAAATAATGTAAGTAATCATGATACTTCATCTCAGAGATATAGAAGCCGAAATGTTGTGAATATGGCAATGAAGATGATGATAATAGTCCAAATAATGTAAATAATGTAAGTAATCATAATACCTCATCTCAGAGATATGGACAGAATTGTCAATCATGATGATTATTAATTTTTTACTTATCAGTTTTGGGAATCTTGATCCAGAGAAGATGCCCCACATTGTATGTCCCTTGTTCACCCTTTGGTTCAGGTGGAGAATAGCATCAATTCTAATGGAAATGAAAATACTTGAAGATTAAAGTAAATAGCAAGGGAAAAATTAACGATAAAATTAGATTAAATTCTCTAATCTTTTAGTTGAATGCTTTAAGTTCTGATTTGAAATATTTGAAATATTTGTTTGAAATATGTGAAAATTAATACAGGTAAACTTTTGATTTGCAGATGCTTTACACAAAATCACCAAAACTGAAGGCTTACATGCTTTATGGGATGGGACGGGGCCTTCTCTCATGCTTTCCACTAACCCAGCCATTCAGTTTGCCATCTATGAACTTTTGAAGAGGTATTTGCAAATTATTTGTAAAACAAAGGTAAGCTGTCACCTTTTGAAGAGTGATTTCTAACATTAATTTTCCTGTTTCGAAAATTATAAGATAAAGCATTAAGAGGCAAACTAATGTTGGTGACTTTCTCTTTGTCATGATGTCGAATCAGTGGAAGACTAAATTAAAACTGTCAGGACAAAGAAAAGGGAACCTTATTAATTTTTGCAGAGGGAAGATAGAGAGGGGATAGAGCCACATCCACCAGGAAAAAATTGTCATGGAAAAATTGTTATCTAAATGACACAAAAATGAAAATAACACTGACATCTCATCTTAACAGATATACAGGATGCGATGGATAAATTGTCGTCTAAATGACACAAAAATGAAAATAACACTGACATCTCATCTTAACAGATATACAGGATGCGATGGATAATATGTCGTCTAAATGACACAAAAATGAAAATAACACTGACATCTCATCTTAACAGATATACAGGATGCGATGGATAAATTGTCGTCTAAATGACGCAAAAATGAAAATAACACTGATATCTCATTTTACCAGATATATCTGCCAAAATTACAAAAAATATACACAAAATCTTGAAATACTTAAGAGTAAATTTATTCAATAAAATTAGCTTCAACCATGGCCTAAAGATGACTTCAGAATCTTCTGCAACTCTTCTGGACAATATCTTTGTTTAAGTTGGTAAATGCTGCCATAATCCTTGCTTTCACTTCATCTTTGGTGTTACAAGGAGTTTTGATGGTCTCTTGCTCACCTGTGCCCCACACATAATAATCAAGGGGTGTGCAGTCTGGGGAGTTAGGTGGCTAGATTTAAGGGGTGATGTGGTTGTAGAAATGTGCTCTGACAGATATGACTGGGTTCTCTTGTTTGTGTGGCTTTGTGCAGAGTTCTGTTGCCGGACATAGGGTCTTCTAGTGACTGCCCTCTTGACCCCAGGCAGCACTACCTCCTCAGGGCACTTGATGTAGGCCTCCATGTTGAGTCTGAAGACATGTTGCATAATGTCACCATCAGTAGTGATCACTCCAAACACCATGATATTGACTGGATCTATTATCCAGCTCTTTCCAAATCCTTTGCACTGTCCTCAGATTGACACCCAAAAACTCTGAAATGTTCGTATTGGAGCTTCTGGCATGAATGCCAAGCAGTACGGTATGCCATTTCCAAATTTCTGGCAAATTAAATTGAGCCATGGTGTTCTTTTTTTCACAGACATCTGACACTTTTGTGCAATCGACAAAATCAAAAAGAAACAATGCTAATGCACAAAATTAAAAATATAAAAGGGCAACAATTTAACCATCACACCAAGTATGATGAGAATGAATAGAGTACACTTTTAATGTTCAAAACATTTGATTTAAAAAGGGCTCAATACATAGAGTAGAGCAATATTATTTATTTTAGTATATTACAACAAAAACATTTAAGAATCGCTACACAGTTGCAGTCATGTTTCAACACATAACAATGTGTCTCCTCAGGTAATTTACAATCACCTGAGGTGACACATCACTCTGTGTTGAAACACGACTGCAATTGTGTAGCGATTCTTACATTTTTTTGTTGTAATATTATAAAATAAAAATATATATATATATATATATATATATATATATATATATATATATATATATATATATATATATATGATTATGCTTTTCTAAGTAGGATCAAAGTGTCGTATCTGCTCCAACCTTCTGAACACTATTATGGTTTGCTCCGGTATTGTTTAGTGTTTTAAAAATAAGGGGTCTCTCTTGATTCATACAAAGAATGTGAGAGATAATTTTTCTGTATGTTGTGTTTGTGTTATTATTTTAGGAGTTGAAGTCACATTCCAGGTGCAATTTCACAGGTGTTTTTCTAAATTGTTACTTGTATCCCTAAATGCAGTTTTCAGAGAATGAGGCAGAGGTCAGTTAATGCAAGTAGATAGTAGCACAACAAAAAGTTTAGTTTTCTTCTTTGGTTTCAGTTGGATTTCAAAAATATCCCAAAGACTCTGAGATTCCTTATTTTTTTAATGCCATTTCTCTTCAGGTTGTAAGAAATCATGACTCTCCACAGATTTTTTATAGTCTGGGAATTGACATACATGCTTGAGAAAGATGGTGGAATGGTTTCCCAATGCCTTCTCCATGGTTTGGAATTTAGAGTTTTCTTTCTCTTAGACTGTTTTTTAATTCAATATCTCTTGTAATAGAGTTTCTGGTAGAGAGTGTATAATCTGGCATGTTCAGTAACTGAATGAGGACAGTACACACAAACCCTCAGTCACAATGACTTGTAACTTTGTGCTAGCACAGCAATTGGTGGCTTTTGAACAGTTTCATCTATTTAATTTCACTTACTTGGGTCAAACCATGGTCTGATTTTCAGGCACTTCCTAACAGAGTTTCCTGCCAGGCAGGCTGGTATTATCAAGAAGTCATCTCCCTGACAAATTGACCGTGGTGAGATTTGAACCCAGGTCTCATGGTCAGAACACCAACATTCTAACAGTTTGGCCATATGCTCATTACAGTTTGTTAGTAGTGAGTAGTTAATTACACTATTTACATTATTTGGCCTATTGTCCTCATCTTTGTTGCCATATTTATCACAACATTTCAGCCATTGTACATTCCGGCCTTCTTCAGGTGGTTGGAATGACAAACTGAATACTTTATTTTGCTCGCTGGAGTAGACTGTTCTAGTTCCACATGCCATGTCTAATGAATGTCAGTTATCTCCTGTTAATTCTTCTCTCCAAGTTCTTCACTGCCTTAACCAGCTATCAAACTCACAACTCTTTGGGTCCTGTCACTGGATCTAACCAATGCATTTATCCATGTATCCTTAAGGAAGAAGAAAGCTGGAGCATACAATGGCCACATTGTGGTAAATATGACGATAAAGATGAGGACAATAGTCCGAATAATGTAAATAGGGTACATAATACCTCATCTCAGAAATATAGACAGATACTGAGTAGTTAATGTTTAGTTATTTCATTTTAAAAAATGAATAAAACATTGTTTGGCATTTAATCTATTTTTCCCTCTTTATTTTAATATTTTCAGAAACTCAGTGGTTACCTGTATTTTATGATTGGAGCTTTGGCAAAAATGTTCGCTACCATCACTACTTACCCACTTCAAATCATTCAGTCTCGACTTAGGGTGAGTTCAGATTTTAAAAGCATATCAACTGGTTTGTGATGCTGACAGGTTGTAGTTGATGTATTTGCTAATTAAACATAGCACATCAAGTTCAGATCAAACACTCTACACTGGTAATGTTCTGTGAAGATTTTTAACCATTACTCTGTTCCAAACACCCAGAATAATGCCTAATAATGTTGATAAATACAAAACATTTACCTATCACTGAATCAAGTAAACTTTTATAAACTCAAATATAATGGTTTGGGATTTGGATATAAATGATCAGTATTTACCTATCCCTAAAGTAGGAAAATGTTTATTGATTCAAATATAAACAAGAAGTATTTATCGATCACCAAACCAATTATTGTTTATAGACTTAAATATAAATGATCAGTATTTACCTATCACTTAAGTATGGAAATGCTTATTGATTCAAATATAAACAGGAAGTATTTATCGATCATCAAACCAATTAAATGTTTATAGACTTAAATATAAATGATCAGTATTTACTTATCCCTAAAGTATAAAAATGTTTATTGATTCAAATATAAACAAGAAGTACTTATCTATCACCAGATCAAGTAGTTGTTTATAGACTTAAATATAAATGATTAGTATTTACTTGTCCCTAAAGTATGAAGGTGCTTATAGATTCAAATATAAACAAGAAGTATTTATCAATTACCAAACCTATTAAATGTTTATAGACTCAAATATAAAAAAAAACATTTACTTAACTCTGTACTGAGTAAACATTTATAGACTTAAATATAAATAATCAATATTTACTTATCTCTGAGCCAAGTAAATATTTCAAGTTTCAACTCGAAATCACTAATATTTCCCAAACCATATAAATTCTTATAGACTCAGATAAAAGCAACCAATATTTTCCTACCCCTGAACCAAATAAATGCTTATAGACTCAGATATAAACGATAAAGATTTTAATAAATGACCAATATTTATTTATCTCTGAGCCAAGGAAGTGTTTGTAGGCACTAATATAAGTCACTAATATTTCCCAAGGCAAATAAATTCTTATAGGCACAGATATAATTAACCAATATTTGCAAATGCCTGAACCAAGTTAATTCTTATTAACTCAGATATAAATAATAAAGTTTTTCATAAATGACCAATATTTGCTTATCTCTGAACCAAGTAAATGCTTCTAGACTTAAAAAAAAAAGAAATTCCTTTTCACATTATTTAATCCAAAACAGATTGACATGTCACAAAATCTACCAACATATCACAAGTATAACTCATATGAGTGTGTTGAAAATATTGTTAATGTTGCTGTTGCAAGATTTTCCTGCCTGTAAAAAGTTTCAGAAATGGAATATAAGATTTTCAGAATCTAATGTCCTTTGTTTTTTTTTCTGTGTTATTCCTCTGACTAATCTGTCTTTTTCAATGTTTTCTAATTCAATTCTCAAGTTAGAAAAATTTTGCCTCTAAATTGAGATGCTAAAATCAATTAAATGCATCTGAAAATTCTCCAAATCAATCCACTGCAGCATTTCCAAATTCAGATTTTCTAAAGTTACACAGTTGGCACAATCAATGAATTTGGCAGATTTTACAAATGCCCTGGACTTAGTGAATCTTAAAGAGATTTATTCAATAGTTGAATCAATGCTTCATAATTACTTTGGGCATTCTAAATATCTGTTTTCTCATGAATATTAGTCACATATTTAAGGTTTGAACTTATACTGACTGTTGTTGACTTATATATATATATATATATATGTCATCCACAGACAGACTGTTTTCACAGCTCATCAGTGTAGCTAGACATCCGGTTGCCTCAAGCTAGGATCGAAACCCGACTGAATTGGTGTCAGTCGGAGATTCTACCATTAAGTTGTCGGCACACAGCAGGGATGAAGGTGAATTTTAGCATATTTATTTTTAGAAACACACACTGACCAACAGTGACTCAATTCGCTTTTTTTGTGAAGAGTCTCACTATATTAGCTATAATAGTCACTGTTTCATAAACCCACACCTCTTCCCCAGAGAGCTCAACTGAAATTAATTTTTCAGGAGATATATATATATATCTGTGTGTATGCGTGTAAATCATTTTCAGATAGTGTATCTCTAAAAGAAAATATGATTAAAAACAAGAGGATAAACTATCCTTAACTGATGCATTTCATCCTCTGAGAGACTTTATCAAGGCAATTATCAAGGTATATTTGCCTTGATTTCGTAAAATACATCCATTAGATGCTTCGGTACATATCATTGATGTTTCTAGCTGAGGTTTACTAGGGTTTTGGGTCTTTCAACATCTTACCCCCTCTCCATGGTGACCTAGCTGATCCCTCAGAGGACAAAATGTGTTGACTAAGGATAATTTTTCCTCTTGTATTTTTATTCACACACACACATATTTCCATGTATAAGGTGAACTTTAGATAAGATGAGGTAAAAAATATAGCATGAATTTATCCTATGCCTGTAGTATAAGATGACTGCTTATAGATTTTATAAAGATGATGTTATTGGAAATGTTGTTACTTACTGTATGTTTAGAAATTCAAAACAAAATAACAAAACTGATTCCATATCATGTTTTTTTTTCACACGTCTCCTAAAAGGAAACCATTGTTTTGTTTATGTTTCATCATGTGATCTCTTGTGAATATTGATTCTTATTTTTCTTTTATTTTGTATATAAAAACTTACAAACAGCCTGGTGTACTAATAGCCATTTACTTATATTTCATCGATAATTACAAAATACTGCTGATAGTGTATGATAATAGTACGTTCCATTACTGTGAATGCAACCATAATTTGATATTTACATTTTCTCAGCTTGCATGGATAAAAGTTGATTTCATTGACATGGAATCATTCTTTGAATAGGCAATTTATTATGAAGTTATGCCAGTAATATATATGATAGAAATGATTTTATTACTTTCCTTATCACTTTATTTGATAGGGTGAACCTTTTGATATACATTATTGGTTATTGCACCGAGGCCGGGGTTTGCCTACCGACAAACGTTACTCAGAATTTGAGGTTTCTTATTTAGAATTGTAGTATAAGACATACCCAAATTTTTAAGGGTGTTTTTTGAGATTTAAAAGTTGTCTTATATACAGCAGAAATATACAGTATGTTTTACAGACATATTTATATATCTTTATGAAACATATTGTCTATACATCTTTACAAAACACACATTGCCTGCTGTTGACATATGTATACATTTTTAACACACCATGAAGTTTCAGCCCCTTGTTTTTATAAAATAACTAATGCTTTATGTTATTTTCTAAACCATCATATACTTATCGTAGCATATAATACAACCCGTTTTTTTTTTTAATTGTGCATTGCTGGTCTAAAGAATGCTTATAGCTAAAAATATTTCCTTTCTATTCTTTTTACAAAGGGTCAGTTATTTAAAGAGTAATCAAGAGATTGTGACTGACATTATGTTTAAATTTTGGAAGATGATGAAAGTTGGCTGGATGGAAAGCCAGAAGGGTTCCACAAGCAAGAAGTGGGAGAAAAGAAACTGATATTTTTTATCATTTCACCCCAAGCAATTATTTTAAGTGTAGTTATGTCTTTATAAAACTTACATTGTCTATTGTTGATGCCTACATACATTTTCAAGACACTACAAAATTTTCATTCCATACATTATAAACTAACTAGCACTTAGTGTTATTATCAAATTAGTATAAACATATTAGTCATTTGGTTTAGTCTCTACTGTAGTGTATCCTATTGAAATATGGTGTATATTTTTTAGCCCTTCTTTGTAAGAACATATTAATAACACTTCCAGTTAATAATGTTAGCATTACTACATCAGACTTTTATAATTTACTTAACACTTCCATTGTTGTGGTTGTGTTTGTACATTTTTACAAAACTTACATTGCTTGCTGTTGACTTATATATACATTTTCAAGACACTGAAATGTTTGAGGTAGTTTTTGAGAGTAGTTGCTAGTTTTACTTTGTTGGTCTGATTGTACTTACTATTAAGACAGGAATAAACAGTTGTGTCATCGGCATAAATATTGAGAAAGAGAAATTAATTTGTGGCAAATCACAAAGAAGGAAGAAATAGGAATTTAAATCCTCTTTAGGATTCTACTTTTTGGTCAATGTTTATCAAAGTGAATTGTTGACAGATGTGAACAATATCAACCGCTAAAATAGTATTCCAAATAAAAATGTTATAAAAATGGGGTAAAAGATTTTTTTTGTGTCTGGTGTTTAATACTAAGAAGTTTGTGTCATCATCATCATCATCATCAAAACTATTTTGATTTGAGGTCATGAATTAACATGTTATCTCATCTTCAGTGATATTGTCGACTGATTTGACAATATTTTGCCAATTTTCTCTGTTCTCTGCAAGTTTGCAGGTTTGTTACAGATCTTTCTTAATTGTAAACTTCTCCAAAGGAAAAGTGAGATCTTTCTGCTTTGTTCTTTGAATGTCTTGCTTCAAGTTTGATACTTTGGTGGTTTTTGGATGATCTCTGAACTTTTTGAGGTCAGTCTTTTCAAAGTAAAACTCCATGGCTTTGTTAGTTGGGCATTCTGGATCCATTTTAAAAATAGTCTGAATATTGTCTTTCTCAATATGCAACCTCATAAATAAGTAGTTACTGCATAGCATTACCTACTCCACCAAATTAAGAAGTTTGCATCTGATTTTTATAACTAAACAGTTTGCATCTGATGTCAATACTAAGAAGTTTGTGGTTGATAGTTAATAATAAGTTTGTACCTGATATTAATACTAAGTAGTTTGCCTCTGATATTAAATAATAATGTTTGCATATGATGTTTATTACTAAAAAAAGAAAGGAGGGAATTTTTTTTTTACTTCAGGTGAATGATTAACATGAAAGGAAATGGGATAAGTGTAAGCAGAACGTGATTCTTGACTGCATTTTTGTGTGTGTATATGTATGTGTATATGTCTCAGTAAGGGAAACAAATCATTACTTACCAT